CCAGAGAACAACCGCACGACTCCCTATCGCGCTTGTAAGTCATGGCCCGTTACCCGACGCGCAACGCTCTAGCTGTACGCGGTTGCCACTGCTAATGGGCCTTGTACATCTTTAAGAGAGTTCAATTAAAAACGGAACTGAATACGTACATTATTGTTGTTTTCTGTTCCTTGTATAATATGAGGTTGATAGACATTGCAAAAAGGGTGTAACATTATACACCCACCGTAACCACTAGGAATACGACACGGTAGAAAACGAAATCCCCTACACTGGTTTTGCTTGACCAGTGCGTACATCTTTGCTAAACGTTTTTATGAGAGCAGTAATATCGCTCACCTATGTTGCTATGTTGCTATGTTGCTTTACTCATGTGTTGAGCGGAAGTGTCTGGTGAGTGTCGTCGTCGGTCTTATAACGGTGCAGGTACACGTATACATTAATGATATAATATATAATATAATGTTATAATACAATATTTTATAATATAATTTGTAGCTCGTGGCAGCTATCCTGTAGTAAAGCGTAAATTTGGTTTAGGCGTTGTTCACGAAATCTGGACTCGAGGGATTTATATATACCTGATTTTTCTCTAACTGAAGTCGGCATGCGGAAGTAGATTAATTTCCTGACGATTCACGTGTATTCCTTCTTCGTGTGCACGTGCAGCCTGGCACCTTCATCAAGGTCTCAACTGCCACGTGAAGCGGTGAAATGCGACGCGGGAGGCCGACAGAGGTTTCGGCGAGGGGCATGAAGCTCGTCGACTTCTTGCTGCATGCCGAGGCAATCACTGCCGTATTCCCCAAGGAGAATCACGTGCATGTCGCGTGACAGCAATGAATCGCGCGAAAAGCTCCAGCTGTGATGTGTTTAAAGTGGTGTATGCGTGTTTGGCTCGCTAAATATAGCTGATAATAGTCCTCACCTTGACAGTGAAAATACTCACTGATTATACCAACCATTCAAAACCCCAAGATTTGTATGCAGTTATAGCAATAGAAAAATTTATTTTGACAGCAACATTCATACCAGCATATAAATTTTATGCGTGATGTCCGATCTCAAAATCAACAAATGGCGTGCTTCAAAGCAAGTGCACATAATTAAAACAAGGGCATCTAATTGGATAAGTATTCTCTCATGGCCGTACGCGTTAGGTCGTTGATCCCACTTCTCCTCTCCGTTTTCGTTTATCAGTCCATCAGGACTTTTGATAGACTAATCATTTATGGCGTTACAACACTTACACTCCTGTTGTGTTACATCTTGCATCTATGCCACTCTGTTGGTTTACGATCTGACGCAAAAATATCTCCGGTGCGATTTTGGGCACTTAGCTGGCACCCTATTAATCGTCTCGCGGTAGTCCGCGAGAAAGTCGCGAAGACCATGACAGCAAAAATCGAAAAGAGAATGCCCAAATTGTAAATGCGCTCGCATATTTTTCTTTGGTCAATATACGGAGGTTCTGAAGACTATTTTTATTTGTATTGCCTCAAACATTACGTTACTCCAAGCAAACACGGTACGGCTTCATCCTGAGAGTGAGAATAAACAACTGAAAAGAGCGCTGGCGCGATACGTGTTTATAACCCGGGCGTGTAATGGTGCGAGAGGGGAGCAGTAGGAATTGGGTTGAGGTGTGTAAATAGACCACTGAGAGCAGGCCAGGGGGCCGGCAGTTGTCAATTGTTGTTACGGTCGGTGAATGACAGAGGATGTTTAAAAAGAGGGACTGAGCACAGGAAGCTTGTCGGGAAAAAGAGGTGTTTAATGGTACTGTTTTTCTTGTGGTCGTAGTGCGAGGCGGTGCATAATCAATGGGCGTAATTCCGGGGATGGGCGGGGATAGCATCCGCCGCCCGCACTCTTGAAAGGAGGGGATGGCCCTCTGTACAAATATCACCCCCCTGAGATTAATAAAAAAAAACTCCTCCCCAGGGGTAGAAATAAGGACAATAATGCAGTTTAGCCCGCAAGAGCTAGTAAGCCAGATAAGGTTTGTACTAGCCCTTCTGGGTTTTCAACCTAGCCCTTAAAAAGCATGCATGTCGATAGTGGTTGACGCGGGAAAATTGTTGATCATACGACGAAATGCTGGGGGCTCCGGATGGCTTTCTGAGGGTACTTCGCCCGTGTAATTGTTTATATTGTTGTATATATTCGCTGTATTGTTTGAAAATTGAAGAAGGGTTTGTTTATTTACAATAATTTTATTAATTCAAAACAGCGGGGACCAGAGTGACTGTGACTGTGCTATAACACTGGTAGGTGGGTAGTGGAGGGACAGGGTCCTTCGATGGACTGGAGGTGTTGGCCAGCCATGCTGTGGGAAGTGACGGCGGGGAGGGGGAGAGGCGGCTGATAGGTACGGGTCCGGGGTGGTATCGAGCACTTCTATGCATTGTGCTATTACATGAGAAGAAACGCCTTAAGCGTGGGCGAGCACGCACCAGCGCAACGCAACGCTATCGCACGCAACGCACTGGACACACTCACACATACACACATCGTAGCGCTGGCAATGTCGCGCCGGCGCTAGTGTTACAACGCCCATTTTTTCGCACGACTGCAACACCACAGAAACATCGAGTTATCCACCCGGGGGAGACACAACGCGTATACGCACGCACACGACGTCGGCACACTAGACGCGCAACCAACGAGTGAACGTCGCACACCGACTAGAGGCTCAAGGCACCACACATCACGCACACGACGTTGCTCCACCGCACACACCACCTCAGCCCCTGGAGGGCGGGGGACGTGCTCACGCCCCCCCCGTCACGTCGCACACCGGGTTCACTGCACACGACATCGCCAGCACGACGTCACACACATGCGGCTCTTCGCCGACTGCACACACGCAGCACACGTCGCACAGCGACTGCGTGCTCGAGCAGCACCATACGACGTCGCACACACGACAGGCGCTCACAGCACACACGACTCACAGGACCCTTTCGGCACCCACACGCGCTAACTCCGCAGCACACGCCGCTCTCACCCGCACAACGCTCCGTACGCGCCTAAACACTGCCACACCCCCATTCGTCCAGGACCACGGGCGGACCGCTCGACAGCACGACACGGCGCTGACACACACGTCCGAACGTTCATTTCACGCATTACATGAAATCTGGTCTTGGAATTGTTTAACCTTGCTTGCCCCGACGGGCAGCCACCCTGGCCTTTAAACTTAGCCGCCTTCCCAAACAATTACTAGTGCCGGGCTAGCGCGGCTACGGCTAATTCGACCCCGATGCTATTTTGCTCTGCGCGTGAGCCGGGCCAAAACTTGAAATGGTCAGCTATTATGATAATTTGGAGAGCATGGGCAGAGACGCTAAATCATGTTCAAATTACTGGCGCAAGGCGGCGGTGTACAGGGGGGCAAGCGGGTGCAGGGGGTCTCGGACCCCTCCCTGATCGCGCCGAAAACGCATGCTGAGGGGGTCTAATTTCAAAAATGTTCTGGGGGGGCCCGCCAGACCCCCCCCCTTCGCGTGATCATCCGCTCCCACTACCTCGCTACGGATTTACGCCCCTGCTGCATAATAGATAACTCGTAATTTTAAAGTTAAGCAATGTTTCGTCCTCAACGG